TTGACTAAATGGGACCCGATCCCAGGACCCTGGGATCATGACCTGAGCCGAAGGCAGACGCTTAACCGACTGAGCCACCCAGGCGCCCCAGTCATAACCAATTCTTAATCTTTCTTGGTTTGCCAGGGATTTGTTTCAGCTTATCCTAGCTCCAGAAAACCCATCTAGATTTTCCTCAAGAACCTCTACATTCAGCCCTCACATATCTTCTGCTCTTCTTTAACAGGACAACCAGATCTGTTTCCAATTTAAACAGACATAATGGAATATGCTTCCTTCTTCAATTTCACAATTAGCGTTCTGATCCCTCTGATTAACTTGAATATTTCCTGGTTTTCAAGCAAGCAAAAAGAAAGAAAAGAACAGTTACATTTAAAGTTTATCAGAGTTAATTCTCCTGATCACTGATCTCTCATCAACTAGCTTTCTGCCCTCCCAACCGATATTTAGAAGTTTTGCCTCTAAGGTCATGTTATCGATCGGTCTGCATGCGCCAAGTGCATGCTATGTGATGGGCACCATGTAAAAGAATGATGTGAAGATAGATTATTTTCTGACAGAGGGTTTGGGGCAAACGTCAGCATCACTTACTGTGGGCTTCAGTGCACAGCAGAAGTACCTTCTGTTCTCTTGGCATCTGCAGAGAGGTGCGCTTGGATGAGGACACGGCTTGATGAGGACACAGAGCTTTGCTCTAGAAGAAGAACCCCCACCCCTGGTTCTTACGGAGCAAGCATGGCAATGACCTTGCCCAGAAGAAACACGGTGGTCTCGGCCATGGCCACCAGGCACTCTGCAAGTGGGAGGTGGCTGGTGAGAAGAACACCAAAAAAACACTAGCAGCCCAGCTAGACCTAAGGCGCTCGTGAATTTGGGCACAACCTCTCCTGCTGGTGGACAAGAATACCTCAAATCCCAGTCAGTTCAGCCAGGCCATGTGGGATGAGCATCCTAGTTCCGCACCTGGACCTTCAGACTGCTTGTCTCCGTAGTTGTGAAGATGAATTGGATATGGTCCTTAAACACAAGGAACTCCCAGTCTAAAATGAGGGACTTTCATGGAATCAAATCATTACAGGGCATGTGTGATGGATACATGCTTTAAAAGCTTGCCTGAAGTCTGTTTTTCTATCTAATGATGTTTAGCGGAATCCTCGGGTGAAAATATTGCTCAAGGCCCTTATTTTCTTCATGGAGGTGGCATAAATGCCCAAAGGGCCTGTGAATCATGCAAATGAATAGAGTAGGCCACAGATAAGAGACCCAGGGTCGGTGGCATGCAAATTCTGGCATAATTTATCTGTGGCTAAAACCCACTCATGGCAATGCCCTCTACACCAAGCTTATTTTTTCAGTTCTGGGCCCCTGAGGAAATCTCTCAGCACTGTCCACCTAGATCTAGAAAATGCAGTGACCTTTTCAGCTCATATAGCAAGAATGATGAACCTCCCAGTCTGCAGGTGGCACCAAAGTGGGCCATTTCCTGCCATTTTTTGAAAACTGTAAAAACACCACCAAATAGTTCAAACCAATCCAGATCTTTAGCTAAGCGGTGCCAAGTTTCTTCCACGTCCATTAGGCTAACCTTAACCATAGTTTTCTACAATAAATTTAACCCAAATACTGTACCTATGAACTTGCATCTAATCAATTGAGTTAACTTTTTATCCCTGTCTCTCCTTCGATAACACTGTCTCTGGGTAGCACAACATGTCCTCAGGTCTGCATTGCATGCTCTTCCTCAGCAGCTTGGATTGACCTCTATTGATGAAGGGATGATTGCCAAAAAGTGAAATATGTGACTCTATAAAATAGCACAAACTCGAGCTTTAAAAAGTATTCATTTTATTAATTAAAGGGGAGTAGCCAGTAAAATGATAAAGCCAATTTCAGGAACATTTGAGCAACAGAGGTTTATACAGCCCATCACGAAGGCATTTAAAAAAAAATCTTAGAATAAGATGACTGGGTAGTTACAAAATTGGCTAATGTCTTACAGGGCAATAAACAATAAACCTTTGGGGTTATCTTTTATATGGAACAGAATTCATTTCATTCGTATTAGTACTAGACAAGAATTATCTGTGTTGTTATCAGTTTTCAATAAATGAACATCTACCTTTCCAAAATTGTAAGATATCTGAACCAGTAGTAAATAGGAAGTCCAATGAGGTTACAGAGTCCTAGCGAATCAGTTAATCCTTGAATGCGTCTGCCACTATAAGGTACTACACAGCACTACACTGAAAAGACATCCAGTAATCCCTTTTGCCTATTTCTAAGTTTTTGGACAACGTTTGGATGAATACCCAAGTTTGGGGGAAATTGTTCTTAATATAATAGAGTGTACTATTATATATATATATAGAGAGAGAGAGAGTGTGTGTGCATTATTATGAGCTAATAATAATGTACATAATAATAAAACATAAAGGTATGTTTTATTTATATATTTTATATATAAATAATAATAATGTACATAATAATAATAAAAAAATTGCTAAGCTTTACTGAGCACCGCTATTTTCCCATGTGTGTAATACTAAGAAGTAGGTATCATTTCTCACCCATTTTACGGATGAAACTGAACCTAGCCAAATTAACCTGCTCCAAATCACTCAACGCGTGACAGCGCAGGCATTAGACCCCTGATCTGCCTGTTTGACTCTATATCTCTGCTCTTAGCCACTCAGAGCATTTGTCATTTAGTAATAAAATAGCCCATTTCTTTGCCTGGCTTCTCCCTGGACTGTGAATTCCAAAAGGCCGAAGATTGTGGTTTCTTGCTCATTGATATTTTCCTTGCATCTGTTGATATCCAGCACATAACAGGCAGTCAATAAATATTTCTTAAAATTAAATTGAACACAGGGCGCACGGGTGGCTCAATCAAGCGTCCAACTCTTGATTTCAACTCAGGTCATGATCTCGGGGTTGTGAGATGGAGCCCTGAGTCAGGCTCTGAGCTTAGCACTGAGTCTGCTTAAGGCTCTCTCTCCTCTACCCCTCTGCAACTGCGTGCAGCTCTCTCTTTCTCTCAAATTTTGAAAAATTAAATTGAACATGTAAAAGCAGAGAATCAGATTCCAATTCAAATACATTTTTTATTAGCTCTCTCACCCTTCTCTTATAATGAAGATACCAGCTATGGTCCTTATTTTCCCCTTTTATTCCCATTGGTAACAATGTTCCAAACAATGGTGGGGGTGAAGTGTTTAACCAATATAGTCTTTACTCATTTATAGAATTGTTTATAAAATAAACATTTGTTGAGTGCCTCACACACGCAAGACTTTGCACTAGGCATCATAAGAATGGCTTCCCCACTAAGTGTAGCTTTACGAAATAGAATCCTGGGGTATTTCTTGAGTGCCCCAATTAGCAAATATCAATCTAGAATGTAGTTCTCCTAATAAAATGCCATCAGACTTAACTTTTAAAAATATAGATGACCTTTCTTACCCTTAATGAAATTTACCATACTTGTCATCTGGCTCTTTCTCCACTTGCTCAGAGATCCTTTCTCTTCCCTTCCCCTGCTCTGCTGTGTGTTCAGGGAGGACTGAACCCAGGATACTACATTTCCCAGTTTCCCTTGCTAACTGGCTTCAGGCTGGGTTTGGCTAATGAGTGGCCCTGGAGGGCGATAGGAGGATGGGAAGAGGGGAGAAGCCCCCACTCCAGTCCCTCCTTTTCCTCCCCTCAACCCCCAACCACCACACCTTGAAAAAAACCTCTCCAGTGGTGGCTTATCTCCCCTAGGGTTCTACCTTCTTCTCCTCAGTCCCTCCTTCTGTGGTCTCACCTCCCACTGGACAGTCCTGACTCCCAGGCTCTGCTTTTGTCCCTTTGTTCCTTTAGCTCTAGGGATGGAAGTCGTTACCCACTGATTCTATAATCTGGGTTATTTTGCCATCCCATAAGAGGATTTGAGCTCTTCCTGTGTATAATAGCTTCTGCCCATTGAATTCCCTCAATTGAACTAAGTGGAACAGACTCTCGTTTTTCTGAATGGATCCTGACTTACTGGTCTAATGAGAGAATAGCAATATTCACATTGACATGTAAATATTGGGTGATATGTTAGGCTCACTCATTAGCTGAGTAAATGGCTCCTGTACCACCAACTTTGTGGATTCAAATTGGTTCCTTGGCATAATATCACATGTCACAGACCTCTAACTTGCTCAGGACCAGTTGAAACTGTGAATATTACATCAGTAAATAACAAGAGTGTGATATTAGTAGCTGTAGTTAATTGATCCATACAATGTACCTAGGACTCTACTCAACTCCTTATACATATTATCTTTTAATTCTCCAACAAACTGGGGGGTATTTGTCCTAGTCAAGATGCCTAGTGGCAAATAACAGACACCTCCTTTGAATAGACGTACCAACTGCTCTTGGGTAGTTCATGGAATTTAGATGAAGTCTGAAAAACCAGGCTTGGGAAGGAACTAAAGGAAGTCACCCACACCTAAGACCATGCCACAGGGATGATCTGCTAAAGACTGCCATTTGGGAAGCTGGGCCACCAAAATGACAAATGGCCCTCACAACACCATTATCCCCATTTTACACCAGTGATGATAAAGGCATATGTATAATGAGTGGTAGAACATGGCTATAAGCCCTCTGGTCTGCCTGAATCCAAAGCACATCTTCTTTCCACCATACTACATTTGCTTTTTATATAAGGTTAGTCTGTACCTTAATTGATCTGCTCTTTGAAAGTTTTGATCTACATAAACTTGTAAATTTTTATTTATTTATTTATTTATATATTTTTTAAAGATTTTATTTCTTTATTTGACAGAGAGAGACACAGCGAGAGGGGGAACACAAGCAGGGAGAGTGGAAGAGGGAGAAGCAGGCCTCCCGCGAAGCAGGGAGCCCGATGCAGGGCTCGATCCCAGGACCCTGGGATCATGACCTGAGCTGAAGGCATACGCTTAACGACCGAGCCACCCAGGCGCCCCATAAACTTGTAAATTTTTAAAAAATTTTAACTTACAGTACAACCACAGTAGCCTTCCTTTAAATAAAGAACTCAGTTTGAGCATTAATATTCACATGTACACAATTATGTTGCACTCGGCTTTTTAGGATTTGCTGATTAGGTACATGCAGGTGAACCTGTAACATAAACAATGTCATAGCCGGGAATGCCTCTAGGGAATTGGCCAGAAATGCCTTATAATTGTTCCTTTTTTTTTTTTTTAAGATTTTATTTATTTATTTGACAGAGAGAGACACCGCGAGAGAGGGAACACAAGAGAGGGAGAAGCAGGCTTCCGGGAGAGCAGGGAGCCCAATGCGGGGCTCGATCCCAGGACCCTGGGATCATGACCTGAGCCGAAGGCAGACGCTTAACCGACTGAGCCACCCAGGTGTCCCATTATAATTGTTCTTTACTCCAGATTTTCTTGCAGAAAAATTTACTTTTTTTTTGGTTTCTCTGACTGCTTCATATATATATATATATATATATATATATATATATGAGAGAAACATAAACAGCTTCATATTTTAGGAGAGCTGGCAGCAATCCATTTTCCTTGCTTTCTGGAAGACATGAGCACCCTTCTAGAGTAATGGAATGGAATGTGCTTATAAATACTCTGAGCACTTAGTTGATATAGCACTGGTATGCATGTTGACAGGTTCTTATGGAAATTAGATAATTGTGCCACCAATGGGTAATACATTGCATGTGACACCACCCACGTGCATATGTGTGTGTGTGTGTGTGTACACGTGCACGTGCATTTATAGAGTAAGTCATGAAATGAGTTCTGGTTTCTATTCTTGACCTACCAATTCAGTGAGTCACTGAATATCACTTTGGTCAGTCATAAACCCTCAGTGCCCTGATATAATACCTTCCACTCGAAAACACAGGAACTCAGGTAAAAGCTACTGTACAGACGTCTGCATGTTCAGGGCTCTCAATTTTTCATCCTCAAAAGGTAGTATAATTATTTAAGACTCATACCACTTTGGGAAAGAATGCCTGTCCAGTTTATCATCAAAAGAAGAAAACCCTTAGAGGTCACATGTTGGGGCACAACATGTATTTTAAATGAAGGTAAACTCCATGCACCTGGATTGTCTAAGAGTTAGACTTGAAAGGAACAATCTAAAAAGTGATCATTTTTACTTTCACAGCAGAAATAATTTTGAAATACTACAGTGAGGGATCTTTTGCAAATCTATTCCTTTCTATAGTTTATATGAAAAGTTCCACTTGTTACCATGACTTTTAAAAATATGAATAAAAAGAAGATGGGAAAGCTATTTATTGTGTAGTGTTAGCCCACCAACATGAAGGTATATTTAAGAGGGCATACAATGGTAAGAGTAGTACCATCGTATGGCAGTGTGAATTACAGAGTAATATATAAATGAATACATTCTCACTGGAAAAGAAATAAGCCATTGGTATGTATATAGAATAAATCAGGAACATCGACCAATCTACCTCTGAAACAGTTTGGAGGGTCACTTTTTAGTCCATTTTTAAAAAATTTTTTTTAAAGATTTTATTTATTTATTTGAGACAGAATGAGAGAGAGAGAGAGAGCACATGAGAGGGGGGAGGGTCAGAGGGAGAAGCAGAC